ATATATATATATATATATATATATATATATATATATATATATATATATATATATATATATATATATATATATATATATATACTGTATATATATATATATATATATATATATATATATATATATATATATATATATATATATATATAAGCCCCCTTTTGATTTTATTATATTTTTTACAAATATTTATTTATATATAAATCTAACAATTATAATTAAATAATATAAGGGCTATTATTTAACTACGGGCACTTTTAGCCTTGTGAAATTAAGTAAAAAACTTGTTCAAAATTAATGTAACACAGCCTCATAAGTTTAAACAGTTTGTCTAGTTTCAAGATCTGTAAGAGGACAAACTTAGATAAGAAGAGAAACATTTTTGCCATCGTGAACTGAACAAATGCCAATTCCACCACATCTCAATGTACAGCTCATTTTAAAATAAAATAAATTATGGCAGTCAAACATTGTCTAAGATCATTTTTGTATCTAGTTTAACAAATCTTTCCACAATATATATAATAATTATACATTTGTCAATAAAATAAATTAGTTGTTTGCTGAATTGTACACCTGTCAAACTCTAAAATTGAATATTAATTTGGTTAAAAGCTTATTAGAAAATAAATAAACTGAATTTGTATATTAAATAGATCATGAACTCATACATTGTGAATACACTTTAAATGTGTGATGAGAAGTTTTTAAATATTTTTTTTAAATGTGTGTGGTGATGGAAATGACATTTCTACAGCTTATTGAGAGAAAATGAAGGAATGCTTCACCGATTAGCTTTGAATTGATACTAGCTTTTCATGTCTACAAAACACTCTTATTTACCTTCATTTTGTTTGGTTTTTAAAGCATCTTTGAAGGTACAACATGTTTGGAAATGATGTAGAATAAATGTATTTCCTTATCAAGCAATATTTACCTTGATTTTTCTTCAAGTGTTGTTGACAATAATGTAAATTCCCTCCTTGAACATGTGCTCAGATGGCACTACTCATTTTCATAGAAACCAGCTAAATAATCTTTCACTCAAACATTTGAAGACGACATTACAGTGTTGTGCTGGAAATGACACTGATACTGTGCGACAGCTATATTTTGTATAAAAAATAATATTGATAATAGTCTCACATTAATAACTATAAAACATTTAAATTATTTCACTTGTGCTTCATTAAGATACATGAATAGATACTAGATAAATAATATTTTTAAATGTTATTTTCATTGTTGAGGTTTAAAACTCTGGGGGCTCTATTTTGACCATCGATATTTGGTCCATTCGCAGAACGCAAAACGCAGGGCGCAAACGCTTTCAGGGCGTGTCAGAACGCGTTTTTGCTAATTTAAGGACTGGAAAATCTGCTTTGCGTCGTGGCGCATGGTCTAAAAGGGTTGAGTTTATTTTCTTAATGAGTTATAGGTGTGTTTTGAGAATAAACCAATCAGAGCCTCATCTCCCGTTCCCTTTAAAAGCCAGCTGCGTCGCGCCAAGAGCGCATTCGCTATTTACAGGACGCAAAGTAAGTCTAAGTGGAAAAAATTTGCATTTAACTAGCAAACAGATAACAGTTAACAGTTTTTTAACAAAAATCTGTTAAACAGAGCATCTACTGCGTGAGAATGAGAGATAATGGAACTACTTTCACTTTCGCTCTTGGATAGGGAAACCTTTACGCACAGGCATCAATTAGCCTATAAATGATTAATTTTGTTTGTTAAGCGCAAATATTCGTTTCAAAACTATTTCTAAATTCAGTTCTAATTTCCAGCAAACGAATAAATAAATAATAATAACAAAATGAGCTCAAAAACCTGAGTTATATCCTAAAACACATGCTGTGCCCCATATGGTCTAAAACCTGACAGGTGGGCAAATCTAAGCTTGTTTTTAATAAAACAAATATAAATATGGATATAATAAATAATACTGACAATAATAATAACATTATACAAAAGCAAATTGTTATGAATGAACTGAAAAAGCCTCCCGAGATGAAGAAGACATAAAAGCAGTGATTTTTCATATTTATGTAGGCTAGAAAATAATATGTTTTGTAATATTTTAATACTTTATATTTATATTCTATATCTATTCTTATTATATCCTATATATATCCTTAATATTTACATTTTTTCATATGTAAAGATATTTGCCTATTGCTCTCTTGTGTGTATTAAGCAGTGCGTAAGTGAGGAGCAACTCTGCGCCGGAGTTTAGACCGGGTGAGTTTTGGTCTAATGAAAAATCTAATATAGTTTCTCAAAATAGCAACGCGCCAGCGGTCCGCCTCAGAACGCCTTCCTTTTAGACCAGAACGCCTATGGGCGCACATATGAGCGCTAATGCATTTGCTATTTAAACAGCGTAGCGCAACGCCTCAAAACCACTCTTGCGCCAAGCTGAAACTACCAAAAGACTGTTGAGCCGCGCCTTGCGCTACACTGCGCCGGGTGTATGATAGGGCTCTGGGTGTGCCACAAAGTGAAAACAGTGGTTTTGACACCTAAAAGGAGGTTGAATAATAAGAAAAATATATAATAGAAAGCTAGCACATTTTTTTATAGTAGGTTTTATTGTTAGTTTGACAAAGAAAGAGGAATTTGAACAAAATTATATATATATATATTTGGATATATGATCAAAGGACAGACTGTAAAAGTGCCTAGTTAAAGAATTACCCATAAATGTTTAAATAAATTCAAATAAATCATTCAAAATGTGAACAAATAGACAGAATAAATATGAATAAATGTAAATTAATAATTATATTTTAAATCAATAAATGCAGTAAATGTGTGTCATTCTTAGTCTCAGACTGAGCTCATGAAGAAGCCATAAATTGTGATTCACACTTTGCTAACAGTGGCAGGATTTCCGATGTTGTAAACACTACGTCACATTATCTCTGGTTATCAGCTACTGTATTTCCTGCTGATCTGCAACAGCTCACGGTGAGCTCATCTACATGATAAACCCAATAAAACACAGTCAGACAGTCACACCTGTGCGTGTCACATTTACCTGCTGTGACCAGGATGTTGCATTGAGCGTCCATGATCCTTTCACACAGAGACTCGGACGAGAAACCTGCAAACTGAACCACAAGATCTGAATTTCTCGAGATGAACAATGTAGTAATATCTGATGATATTCAACAAAAGAGCATAATAAGAGTCTGGCTGAAATGGGGTCATCATCTAGGCATAAATATAGGATTTGATGATTTAGAGAAAGTACTCTTGAAAGCACCCGTGTGTTATTTTTACCTCGAGCTAAAAACTTCAGATGGCTAACGAGGATTGGCAGGCTGAAATAGTCCTGGCAGGGTAAATGAGGCTGTTCTCATTTCATGCATATTAATGATACTGAGCTAAATAAATACTGACCCCAGTTTAAACTCTCTTTCAGACCCTTCGCCTCTGTAAAGCTTCAAAAACCCTGAAAAATCCTTTTGTATTTGTGAATTTATTTCTTGGAATATTTTTTTGCCGAAATTCTGACTCTCTTTTTCCTGGAATATTAAGTTCATATTCCGGAATTATGACTTTTATTATGAAATTCCAAGTTTTAATCTTTGAATTATGAGTTGCAATTATTAAAAAAAATTATCTTGCAATTATGACATTTTCTTGGAATTCTAAGTTTTCATCTTGGAATTATAACATTTTTCTAGGAATTCTGAGATTACATCTAGGAATTCTGAGATTACATCTTGAAATTGTGAATATTTTCCTATGAATTATACAGTTACAACTTGGAATTATGAATTTTTCCTTGGAATTCTGAGTGTACATCTTGGAATTATAACATTTCCTTGGAATTCTAAAACTACATCTTGGAATTCTGAGTTTACATCTTGGAATTGTGATTATTTTTCCTAGAAATTCTAAATTAACCTATTAGAATTGTGACTTTTTTCTATGAATTCTAAAGTTACATCTTGGAATTCTGAGTTAACATCTTTTACTAGGAGTTTACATTTTGTAAATCTGACATTTCCTTGGAACTCTAAGGTTACATCTCAGAATTCTGAGTTTACATTTTGGAATTATGATTTTACATTTTCTTGGAATTCTGAGTTTATATTTGGGGACTTTACCCTTTTCCTAGGAATTCTACAGTTACATCTTGGAATTTTGAGTTTACATCTTGGAATTATGACATTTTCTTGGAGTTCCGAGTTTACATCTTGGAATTGTGACAATTTTCTTAGGAATTGTACAGTTACATGTTGGAATTGCGAGTTTCCATTTTAGAATTCCTGGGAAATCAGTCATAATTCCAAAATGTAAACTCAAAATTCCTGGGAAAATAGTCATAATTCCGAGTTTACATCTTGGAATCGACATTTTCTTGGAATTTTGAGGTTACATTTCAAAAATTCTTACAACTATTTTTTAGGAATTCTAAAGTTACATATTGGAATTCCGAGTTTACATCTTGGAATTCCGAGTTTACATCTTGGAATACCGAGTTTACATCTTGAAATTGTGACTATTTTCCAAGGAATTATACAGTTAAATCTTGGAATTGTGAGTTTACATTTTTTAATTCCTGGGAAAATAGTCATAATTTTAAGTTTACATCTTGGAATCAACATTTTCTTGAAATTTTGAGGTTACATTAAAAAAATTCTTACAACAATTTTTAAGAATTCTAAAGTTACATATTGAAATTTTGAGTTTACATCTTGCAATTGTGACTTTTCCTAGAAATTCTAAAGTTACATTTTGGAATTCTGAGATTACGTCTTGGAATTAGGACCATGTTTCTAGGAATTCATCTTGTAATTCTGAGTTTACCTCTTGGAATTATGACATTTACTTGGAATTCTACGGTTACATCTCGGAATTATGATTTTTTTTTTTTTACTTGGAATTTCTAAATTTACTTCTCGAAATTCAGGCTTTTTCCTGGTGTTTTAAGTTTTCATTTTTAAGTATGACTTTTCTTAGAATTATATGGAAATATAAGTTTACATCTTGGAATTATGGCTATTTTCCTAGGAATTCTTAAGTCATTTCTTGTAATCAGGAGTTTACACCTTGTAATTATGACATTTCCTTGAAATTCTAGGTTTACATCTTGGAATTATGATTATTTTCCTAAGAATTCTAAATTCTTGAAATACTGAATTTACATCTTGGAATTATTACAATTTTCCAATGAATTACAAAGTTACATCTTGAAATTATGACATGTTCTTGGAATTCTGAGTTTATATCTTGGAATTATGACTATTTTCCTAGGAATTCTAAAGTTACATCTAGGAATTATGACAATTTCTTGCTATTTTCAATTTACATCTTGGAATTAAAACATTTCCTTGGAATTCTGAGTTTACATCTTAAAATGGTGACCTCTATCTAGGAATTCTAAAGTTACATCTTGCAATTATGATTATTTTCCAAGAAATTGTAAAGTTACATCTTGCAATTCTGAGTTTAAATCTTGGAATTGTGATATTTTTTTGGAATTCTGAGTTTACATCTTGGAATTATGACATTTTCCTGCAATTCTGAGTTTACTTGTTGAAATTGTGAATATTTACATAAGAATTCTAAGTTGCATCTTGGAATTGTGACTATTTTCTTAGGAATTCCAAAGTTTCATATTGGAATTTGAAGTTTAAATCTTGTAATTCTGAAATTGTCTTGAAATTCTGAGGTTACATTTCGGATTCATGACTATTTTCTTTAGGAATTCTAAAGTTACATCTTTGAATTCTGAGATTACATCTTGAAATAATGACGTTATTCTTGGAACTCTGAGATTACATGATTTTTCTTGGAACTTTAAGTTCAGACTTTTCGCTTAATTCTATGTCTACATTTCAGAATTCTGAGTTTACATCAATCAAAAATAAACCATAAGAAAATTACAAATGCATGCCCTTCATTATGCAAAACAGTATGCTGTTCTATTCTGCTGGTCTTACTACTATGTGCAAACTCATGATTGTTGATCTTATGCATTAATAAAACCAAAAAAAATCAGTTAAAATAAGTCACGTGTTCAGCAAAACTCTTATTTAAATCATCATTTGGAAATTATGCAGAATAAATACTTCTTAATTTAATACCAATGTAATATTGCGACACCAAAACTCCCATTCTGAAATCAGACTTTGATGTTCTGCGTGGTCTCAGACTTTTGGACCCCCTCTGTCCGTGTCTCCTTGTTACAGGAATAGCGCTGTACTTTGACACTGAGGCCTGTGCTAGATCTGGACGTCCGTCAGCTGTGCTTTTGGCCAGTGGGATTCATTGCACAAGCCAAAAGGACAGTTAATTCATCAGATTATATATGGCAGCGTGCCTTGTTAAACATTACAATACAGTTTCTGAAGGAATTAAAGTTGCTGCTTTAAGGCTTCGGGAGTCCACGCAACATGTGAGAAAGTGTAAAAGTGATGCTTGTGCTTGGGTGACTGTTTGTATCTTCATTATTTCACTGAAAAGGTGAAGAGATAGGTGAAGGTGAAAAGATACGACTGTGTAATTGCATGCAATGAGAAATGCATACAATGAAGCATGAACACAATGAGAAATGCATGCAATAGGAAATGCATACAATGAGAGATGAACGCACCAGGAAAGTGCTCAGCATGATCACATCTTTATTATTTAACAGGAAATTATGCATGTGACTGCAAATGCATGCAATCAAAAATGCATACAATGAGAAATTGATGCATTTGAGAAATGCATGCAATCAGAAATGCAAGAAGAAGAAAGGCATGCAATCAGAAATGCATGCACCAAGAAAGTGCTCGACATAGTATTTTAATTATTTCACTAAAACTGATGCATGTGATTGAAAATGCATGCAATGAGAAATGCAACAGGAAAAAATGCATGCAATAAGAAATAGATGCATTTAAGAAGTGCATGCCATGACAAATGCAACAAAAAAAGGCATGGAATGAGAAACGCATGCACCAAGAAAGTGCACAGCATGGTCATATCTTCATTATTTCACTGAAAATGATGCATGTGACTGCAAATTCACGCAATGAGAAATGCATACAATGAGAAATGCAACAAGAAAAAATGCATGCAATGAGAAATTGATGCATTTGAGAAATACATGCAATCAGAAATACATGCAATGAGAAATACATGCGCCAAGAAAGTGCTCGGCATGGTTGTATCTTCATTATTTTACTAAAAATGATGTATGTGACTGCAAATGCACGCCATGAGAAATGCATACAATGTGAAATTAATGCAAGAAGAAGAAACGCATGCAATGAGAAATTGATGCAATTAAGAAATGTATGCAATGACAACTGCACACCATGAGAAATTCAACAAGAAGAAATGCATGCAATAAGAAATAGATGCATTTAAGAAGTGCATGCCATGACAAATGCAACAAAAAAAAAGGCATGCAATGAGAAAAGCATGCACCAAGAAAGTGCGCAGCATGGTCGTATCTTCATTATTTCACTGAAAATGATGCATGTGACTGCAAATTCACGCAATGAGAAATGCAACAAGAAAAAATGCATGCAATGAGAAATTGATGCATTTGAGAAATACATGCAATCAGAAATACATGCAATCAGAAATACATGCAATGAGAAATACATGCAATCAGAAATACATGCAATGAGAAATACATGCAATCAGAAATACATGCAATGAGAAATGCATGCGCCAAGAAAGTGCTCGGCATGGTCGTATCTTCATTATTTCACTAAAAATGATGTATGTGACTGCAAATGCACGCCATGAGAAATGCATACAATGTGAAATTAATGCAAGAAGAAGAAACGCATGCAATGAGAAATTGATGCAATTAAGAAATGTATGCAATGACAACTGCACACCATGAGAAATGCAACAAGAAGAAAGGCATGCAATGAGAAAGGCATGCACCAAGAAAGTGCTTGGCATGGTCGTATCTTCGTTATTTTACGGAAAATGATGTGTGACTGTAAATGCATGCAACGAGAAATGCACACGATGAAAAATGAATGCTTTGAAAAATACAACAAGAAATGCATGGACAAATAAATAAATGCCTGAGAAATGCAACAAGAAGAAATGCATTCAAAGAAAAATACATGCAACAAGAAAGCCATCAGCC